TACATATTCTAGACTGCCCAGACTGAGTTAGACACTTTCTTCTTTGGACTCCCACAATAGCTCAGTTAGGGCACATATCACATTACATAATGATATGGCATGATATATGATATGAAATTATTGTAAGATCCTAAAAAAAAATGGTATTTTTTTGTTTTGTTTTGCTTTCATCAGTACCAAGACCTAGCATCTAGTAGCTTTTCAAAATATTTATAATATTTGTTGAAAGCATATATAAAGGCACTGTGCTGGACTCCATTGCTCAGTTGTTGAAGAGTTTATAGTCTGGAGTGCAAGAAATAGATCTACATAAATAACCACAAGACAAGCCCAATTGGATTACTAAACTGGAGGTTGAATCAAAACCATCGACCTGAAAGCACAGGGAAACCTGCATCAGGGACAGACCCCTAAACTGAGCTTTGAAGCATACATGTGGATTTAACTTCCAATTTTACCTAACCTCAAACAAATGAACTCACTGCCATCGAGTCCATTCTGATTCATAGTGACCCGCATTGGTTTTTCCAAGATAGTAAATCTTTACGGAAGCAAACTGTTCCATCTTTCTTCCCCAGAGCAGCTGGTGGGTTCGAACCACCAACCTTTTGGTTAGTAGCCAAATGCCTTAACCACTACATCACCAGAGATCCTTTTGCTTAACCTACTAATTTTGTTTATTATGGCCATCCCTCCTCATACCCTGTAGAATGCTATGCTTTGATGGGAGAAGGCCACAGAATTCTTAAATGTTGGCAAATTATTCCCAGGAGATGTCATGAAGGAACAGATAATGAGTTTTTCATAACACAATTTTGAATAGCAATTGTAGTTTTGCTTATCAGCCCTAAAGCTTATAAATTATTGACAAATCACCATATCTTTGAAGATGAAAACAAACTACACCATGAAGATAAAGTTTCAAAAACTATAGAGCTACAAAAGACATAAGTTTTCATTATATACCTAACAGAGAACAAGTATGTTTTTTTTTTTTTATTCTAAGTAATTAGACTGCCCCAGTGAAATTGAAAAGTGATAAACCATGACATACCAATCTATTTTCATATGATCTATAGAATAATTCTTGCCCTTTTTACAACCTAGGAGGATATTCAATAAAAATTTTGAATATAGTTTTCTTTTTTAAGAAAGGATCTTGTAATATGATGAACAATGAAATTCTAGAAATAATGCTGAATCCAAGAGCATAACTATAGTCATATGTTATTAGTATTTTGTAGCATCTTCTATGTCTGTCATTTTATAGTTCTGATTGAAAACTCTAATAAATATTGAATTACATTCTTTCAGTAGCACTGATTACAAAATTGAATAATATCTCTGTTTTCTCTCCTTTAGAATCATCACATTGCTTCCCTGATGACAAACTATATAAAATGTCCTAAAATGGTAATTGTAGCTATTCATTGAGTGTTTATTATTTGCCAGGCTTTGGTCTACAGGAGATTTTATTTGGAAAGTAGGAACTTAAATTTAAACTTTTAATACTCTACATCATTTAAACTCAGCTTAATTAAGACCATGTATACCAGAAGCTCAGTAAGGTAACAAAAATACCTCATTTCTGCTCTGAGAGTTGTCTTGGAGATAGGAAATTTGACAATTTAGACAAGGATTGTGTTTGAAATGAAGAACAAGAGAAATTCCCTTTCTGCATGGGAGCTCTGGTGGTGTAGTCCTAAGGCATTTGACTGCTAACCAGAAGGCTGGCAGTTCAAACCCACCAACCACTCCTTGGAAGGAAGACTGGGCAATCTACTTTCCTAGAGATACCACCGTGGAAACCCAAGGTGGGATCGCTATGAGTCAGATTCAACTCAACAGCAGTGAGTTTGGTTTGGTTTGATGACCCAAGTGTAGTGAGCAGGCAAAAGATGTGGTCATTTTCATTCCACTCACATCCCACATACAGAATTCCCTGGAACTTTAGTTTCTCAAACTGTTACCTTCTTCATGTGTCCAAATAGCCGGTGGGACTATGAGGACCATCGTAGTTATCTGCTGTAACAACAACACCACAATTGCATGGCTTTACCAAACAGAAATCTGTTTTCTCATAGTTTCAGAAACTAGAAGTCTGAATTCAGAGCGCCAGCTCTAGGGGAGGGCTTTTTCACTCAGTGGGCTCTGGAGGAAAGTCCTGTCTCTTTGAGCTTTTGCTCCTAGCTCTTCCTGTGGCTTAGCATCTCTCCCCTATCCCCTCTGGAGGCCTCATCTGCTTCTTTTATCTCTTGTAAGAGGTGACTCAGGACCTTACACTAATCCTGCTTCATTAATGTAACAGAAAACTCATTCCTAAAAGGGATTATAACCACAGGCATCAAGATTAGGATTTACAACACATATTTTTGAGGGACACAATTCAAAACATAACAAGGACCCTTCTGCCAACAATATCCAAATCCCAATTTCAGGGGATTCCTAAACCAAAACCAAAACCAAACCCACTGCCATTCTGGTTCATAGCGACCCCATTGGATTTCTGAGGCAATAACGCTTTACGGAAGTGCATTGCCCAGTCTTCCTTCCACAAAGTGGCTGGTGGGTGTGAACTGCCAGCCTTCTGGTTAGCAGTCAAAATGATTTAGGCACTGTGCTGCCACCAGAGCTCCTAGCAAATTTTCAAGAAGAGTTCTCATGTCCAGTTATATTCTCAACTTTCTATCACCAAACCCAAAACGAGTGGTGTTTGAGATTTAATACCAAATACAACTAATTTAGGATAAACAGCCTCAAAAGATTGTTACTACTTATTAAGAATCATACAACCCTCTCTTTTTCAAAAAAGTTTTTAAAGGAAAATGTTATCATATAGGAAATTAGAAAGGAGAATATAATGCTCTCTATGACCCAACTTCAATAACTCATGAGTCAGTCTTATTTAATCTATCTATATTCCCTTTCTTAATTATTTTGAAGCAAATCTCAGGAATCATATTATTTTATCTGTGATATTTCAATGTGTGTCTCTAGAAAATAAGGACTTTTTTTTAGTCTGATCACAAAATCACTGCTACATATAAAAATTAGCAAAAGTTTTTTAATATTTTCAAATATCTATTCTATGTCCATGCACCCCTAATTATCTCCTACTTGGTTTTTATTTCTATGTTTGGTTTGTTTTGCAGTTTGTTTCAGTCAGTGTTTAAAGAAGGGTCATACATGGTAATTGGCTCATGTTTCTTTTATTTTTTAATTTTTATAAATTCTCTCCCTGTAACTGATTTTTTTCTCCTTGCATTGTCTTATGGGACAAATGAGGTTATCTGTCCTCTAGCATTCCCTGTGACTGGCTTTTGTCAATCACATTCCATGTGTTTTTGCTGGGCTGCTTCATAAGTGGTGCTGTGTTGATGAAGAGGTAAATAAGGTCTGGTCATCACAGCGCAGCGTCAGCAACTGCTGTAATGCTCGGGCCTGTCATGGTCTCTGCTGTGATGATCAACATTGTGGTGCTCAGTCGTTAATTCATCAGAAGTTGCAAAGTGATATTTTAATTCTGTCATTCTTTCTTCATTGGTTTAGAAAAGAAACTCACCTTCATCTATCACTTGGTTACTCTGAGGTGTAGTTCCTGTAGGAAATACAGGAAAAAAAGCTTGATTTTTTTTCCCTTTATTTACCAGTTTTCAATGAATTTGCTCCCTATCATCCACAAAAGTATGACTTTTTTTGCATCATTATGAATTCATAGATTTAATATATTTTATGTGTTTCTATCTATTGCAATTCTTACCCTCATTGATGTTCAAATTGTCCCATCTTTAAAAAGTCTGCGCCTCTTCAAATTGGCTCCTGCATTCTTTCAACACAATCCTAATAGTCTTTGATTTCTGGTATAACAAGTAGTTCATTTGTACATTTTTTGCCCCAGATCAGAAATTCACTATTTCTCCAAGGACCTTTTGGTAATTATATTTAGAGAACACAGTCTAGGCAATAGGCCTTTTCTATACACACACTTGGGAAATAACTTTTTTTAAAAAAAATAATTTTTATGAGTATATAAGAATTCTTACAGTTCAAATTTAGGAGTAAAAGGTTTTTGCTAACATTCTTTGATCTTACATCAGTGTCTCATTTCTCCCTACTAAAAATCCCCATGTGAATAATGCCAATACTTATTTGCTGTCTGTCATAATACACAATGGAACAGTCTGAAGATAAAAATATCAATGCCAGCAACAATAATATGATGATGGAAAACTTTGTAATATTGTTTTTGAGTTCTCCTTCTCTTAGGGTGTATTTCTCACAAAGGATGATGTAAGACACTTAGAAGAGTTCCTGTTTCCTTCAACGTGAAACCTAACTAGAAACACACTTAATCTATTTGTTTTGTTTTTCTTCTAAATATTTTGGAATTTGGGGATGGGAAGGGATTTTCAAATTTAATTTAATTTTATAATTATATAAAATTTTTACATGCTTCAAAAGTCAAATCTACAAAAATAATATCATCATAGAAGTCTACCTTTGATCTGTGTCATCTATTTATTCTCACTCTCCTCTATAAGGAATTGTTTTATTTTCAGTGCATTCTCTTTATTTTTAATATAAGCAAATGCACTTATATCTTAATCACTTCTCTAAGATAAATAATTGTGATCTAGTGATGTTCAAAACATCTTAAAGTATTTGAACTATAACTGTTAAGAATGTTAGTGGACTTTTAGAAACATTAGATATAATCATTTAATATGTACTTTAAAAATGATAATTACTTGAACACTTTACAACTTGTAAGACCCCAGTTGTGATCAGAATAAAGGGGACAAAAAAGCAGTATATTTGGTTAAAAGACTGAAAATTGACAAAAAGACAATAAATTGTTTCTCTGGAGACTTTAAGATAAAGAGTGATGTTAAAGACACTTTATCTCCAAAAGACACTCCTACAATAAGCCTGTTAAAAGCAGATTTCTTTAAGAACAATGAGCAATTTACACGCCCTTGAATTGATATTCTTTCTCATAGATCGAATTGCACAGAACATCATTAAGTCCCATTTGGAGACATGTCAATACACCATGGAGGAGCTGCATCAGCTGGCATGGCAGACCCACACCTATGAAGAAATTAAAGTGTATCAAAGCAAGGTACTCTCAGACTATGGGAACACTTTTATGTGATTATCCTATTTCTCAGTGCGGGATTATTGACATTTTGGCCTGGACGATCCTTTGTGGTAGGAGGTTGTTTTGTGCATTGTGGGATATTTAGCAGTATTCTTAGATGCCAGTAGCACTTCTCTGACACACAGTTGTGATGCCCAAAACTCCCTCCAGACATTGCCAAATATTCCATGGGAGGAAAACCATCCTAGTTGAAAAACCACTGCCCTTTGTGAGTGACCCAAGAGACTATACATCCATCAAGTGTTGATTTTAGGAAATCTACTTCTTAAATTCAGGCATGAGTCGAACCTTACTACTATAAGTAAGTAATCACAACGCAACGCAATGCAACACATTGCCATTGAGTAGGATCCGACTCATAGCGACCCCTCCTTGGGTGCCCAATCTTCCTTCCAAGGAGTGGCTGGTGGGTTTGAACAGCCAGCCTTCTGGTTAGCAGTCACATGCCTTAGACAATAACAGTAATTATAAAAGTCACAAATGTGTGCAACAAAGATATGAAACCAAGCGTTCTGATTTTTTTTCCCTATGTTTTAAAAAAAGAATGTAAGAAAAAAAGGGGACAATTCACTTCACATTATTATTATTACTACTATTTTATTGATTATTCTTTGTGCGCATTAAGAAAGAGTTATTAGACAAAGGAATTTGTGGTGTTGGTTAGTATTCACATTACACCCATTCCTCACTTATTGATATGGTTAGGTTCCAAAGACTGTGGGAAAATTGGCATTATGTGAAAATGGAGGATGGCTATCTATATTAGATCACAAAATGGAGGATGACTACATCATTACATAACTAGCCAAATTACATCATTGCATAACTGCCAAACCACTGATAATCATGCACAGCCAACATTACTCTCACCTCATACCAAATGTACATCTTTAATGTGTAAAATAGTCAGGTAATCTACTACTGTCATAAATGTAAAATGTAGGATAACCAGATAGTTGATAAGAGAGTATTAGGGGTACTATATTTTAGTACTGAGTTTCTCAATTATAATACTTACCAGTAGATGGAATTTTAATAAAATATGTATATATAGATATAAATGTATGTATATCTAAATATATGATTACACCATACTGGTTTTTCTCTACTAGAACAATGAAATTTTACTACTTTTATGTAAATAACAAGTCAGAGCAGAGTTAACACACATGAATTTTGGCTTCTTACTCTGAAGGAAGGAGTCTGGTGGCATAAGATTAAACTGTTCAACTGCTAACCAAAAGATTGACAGCCGTCCACAAGAAAAAGATGAGGCAGTTGGCTTCCATAAATATTTACAGCCTTAGAAACTCTAAGGGGCAGTTCTACTCTGCCCTAAAGGGTCACTATGAGTCGAAATCGGCTCATTGGCAGTGAGTTTATTCCAAAGAAAATTACCCAAGGACTAACACGAACCACTCCTCAGAAAGGAGATTGGGCAATCTACTTCCATAGTGATACCACCTTGGAAACCCAAGGAGGGGTCTCTGTGAGTGGGATCTGACTTGACAGCAGTGCTTACCTCACCTCACCTCACCATTTTACTTAGGAAGGAGCTCTGGTGGTGTAGTGGCTAAGGCATCTGACTGCTAACCAGAAGGTTGATGGTTCAAACCTGCCAGCTACTCTGTGGATGAAAGACTGAGCTATCTATTTCCATAAAGATTTACTGCCTCAGAAACCCTAAAGGGGTCGCTATGAGTCAGAATCTACTCAATGGCAGTGTGTTACTTAAGAGAATGATTTGATTTGATTTGATGCCTTTTCCCTTGCAAGTCTTTTCATACCAAGAAACAATCTCCACAAGTTCTGGATAAAGGACACAATATAAAATGTTACAAATTTAGTGTTCAATAGATACACATGAAAATGATATCATGGGAGAATTTGATTTCATTCTCTATTTCTCAATGCAAGAGTTTGTTTTCACATATGAACCAAGAGCTGGAGTTTAAGTACACAGAAGGAAAGGAGGCAAAAAGAGTGAAAAACGTAACTAAAGGAAACTATCTTTGCATACTATGGTCAGTATTTCCATTATTTTAGCCGTATTAGTACTTACATAATTGTGGTGTATCAAAGTTCAAATAGGTTGAAACAATATCTTAGAAAATGTTACCCACCTCTTTCAAAGGAATCAAGTCAATTCCCACCTTGAGCCTCAAGTAACAGGTAAATGCCAGTAAGGCAACACTGACTATTTTGTTGACTCTCCAAGGAGTTCTTGGCTCCTTTTACATTCTGTGTTTTTTCCTCTTCAAGTCCAGGGAAGCACTGTGGCAGCAATGTGCCATTCAGATCACTCATGCCATCCAGTACGTGGTGGAGTTTGCAAAGCGGATAACAGGCTTCATGGAGCTCTGTCAAAACGATCAGATTCTACTTCTGAAGTCAGGTGAGCAAGTGCAAATTCATGGAGGATTGGGGTCATCTACTTTAGACCGGGATGCAAGGGATCCTTAGCTCTGTATTGGTTCCAGAAAATCCTCCTTCCAACATACAGCACATTTTTACCACCCACAATGTCACCAACTCCCAAGGGAAACTCTCAGTAATAAAAATGCCCTGGTACTCATTCAGCTCTCCTTTGAAGTCAAATACAATTTTGCTTATTGAAAGTAGAGCTATTAATTGCAGAGGTTGAGATACCCAGCTTGACAGGCAGTGCAAGTAATTAGCGTGTCAAGATGGCTGAATTGCTGAGCTGGCGCTAAAATGTACTACTTGCCTTCTGTGGGGAAAAAAAGAATGCAGGCTAGCTGAGCTCTGCCTCTGTGGTCATTTCCAATCAGTTTAATGAGGATAGCCTGCAGCCAGTCTACACCAGGAGAAACTCCACTGTGCTCTAATCTTTCCCTCTCCCTTTTCTCACACACACTCTGACAAATGCACAGCCGCCTAGGAAGTAGCTCGAGAAACTCTGCAGATGATTGACTTTGCAGATGCTCTTACCCAAGTAAAAAAATAAAATAAATTATTTGTCTTTCTAAAGCCCCTTTCAAAATAGAAAATAAGAACCACTGTGGTGTCGATGCTAACCTTAGTGGTCCTGGGCCATAGTAATAGTAATAACATACTTTGATATATATATAATGAAACACATTTATATGTTCATGTTTTCTATGACATCTCATTTAATCTTATGAGGTTGGCATTATAATTTCCATCTGATAAAGAAGAAGACAAAGATTTGTAAAAGTGAAGGGCCATATTCAATGTTACAAAGTCATTATGTGCAAGGCTGGCATCTGAATCTGGTGTGAGTATATTGATAATTCTAAGTTGCTACTTCTTTACTAGATGATGAAAATGGATGCAAACCTTGACTCAAGCACTAATTTGATGCATCAGTTATGTACTACTGTGTTAAAAAAATAAAATAGCCTTGAAGCTTAGCTCAACAATAATCATTTCTTTTGCTCTCAAATCTACAAATTAGGCAGGGCCTAACAGGGACAACTAATCTGTGCTTCATATAATGTCTGCATAGGCAACTCAGCTGGTGGCCTGGAGATCTGTTTACAAATCGGCTCAATCACATGGCTGCCAGGTTGTGCTGGTTGACAACTTAGGCTCAGGCGAGGCTCTGGACTGCAAGCCTCAATTCTTTTCCATGTGATCCTCTATACAGAGAGCTTAGACTTCCTCACAGTATAGTTGCTGACTTGCAAGATCTAGCATTCCAAGAGAATAAGGCAGAAGTGCATAGCCTTCTTCTGACTTAGCCTCAGAAATCATATAATGTAACCTCTACCATATTCTATCATTGCAAGCAGTCAGAAGGCCCACTCATGTTCAAGGGTTGGGGACATGGATTCTCCTTCTTGACAGGGAATGGAAAGATTCTGGGAAAAAAATGTAAGATGGGAGATATTTTTGTGGCCATCTTTGAAAAATAAAATATGCCACACTTACTATGTGACCTTGACCTAATCACTTCATCTCTCTAGATAGCAATTTCCTCATCCGCAACATAAAGACACAGGTTAGAAACAATGAATTTGAAATTACATCAGCAGCACCGGAAGAGCTTATGGACAGTATAAGCATCTTCCTAGGCCCATGGAATCAAAATCTTTGAGAGGGAAAGGCCAGTTCAATGTATTTCCTATTGTCTCAGAAATATAACCAGTCCCTAGAACCTCTGGTCATATGATCTTTAACATCTCTGTTTACTGTAAGAGTGTTGACTCTGCTTGCTGTAACGCATGTGTGAAATGGGGCCAGTAAAGCTCACCTGAAATGGTTATTGCAAGGAGCAAGTGTGATAATAAATATAAAGGGCCTAGGACACTGCCTGGCACAATGTGGATACTCAGTAGGCACAGTGTAGATACGCAATAAATGATACTTATTACTGCTTGCATCAGAAAGGCATTGCTTCAATTACTGTTTGCAAATTTCCTATGTGTAAGACCCTAAGACCCTGTGCTGTATACTATGCCTTGGGAAAACAAAGAGAAACCAGCAGAGCAAGGAAAATAAAGCACACAGACATTAATATAAAGTGATGATGTAATAAAGGCCCCAAAGATGTGGCGAAATCTTCAGTATGATTCTTGATGCCCTCAGGCACATTTGTGGTTTTGATTCTGGTCATCACCTTCCAACACTCTATGGTCAAAATCACTATTTCTCCAAAATGCAGAGAAACTGTGCAGCAATAGTTCTGCAGGATGTCATGAAGGCTCTGAGAGAAAAACAAAGGCAGTAAACTACTCCATTCAACAAATATTTATTTGCACCTACTATGTGCCAGGAGCTTTCTAGATCCTGCAAATACAAGAGTGAACAAATTATCCACAACTGCCCATGGATTTAGATGAAGTTCCTGCCTTCATTGGTATTACAGTTAATTCAGAGAAATGCTAAAATCATCAGGGTTGAATAAACTCCTCCATGCCAGGACTTCCGCAGCCTTTGATCTAGAAATGTTGATTGTAACTCTCTGGAGAGAAAGGGTTTGTTAAAATGTATTTGTCCAAGAAATCCTCCTCTCAAAGAGCATCACATGCAAACAGTGCCCCAAGTAACACATTGAAGGATTCTCTACCCAAAGTCATCTTGTGCTGAAATATGCACAGACTATGTTAACAACTCCATGTGATGGCTGAAGCAGAGAGCAAGTTTTCCCAATAGAAAAAGTTCATCAAAAGTTAACAGGCCAGGCTTGCCCTCCTACACTTTCTTTTGAGGCTATGTATCATCAATTGTCTACTCAAGAATTGAAATTCATTTTAATATTAGTCAAAAATAGAAAGAAATGCATTCTTCTAAAGTAAACGTTATTGCTGGCCTCTATGGTAGCCACCTTGGAAATATATTTTATTTTTAATTCCTCAAGTAAATATCAAGGGAACTTTATTTCTAATATAGTTATTTTTCACCTGGGGAGGAATCTTGCGAAGTTTCTGTATGTGTATGTGTTTTAAAGTTCTTAAAATCTCTTGGCTCGTATGCTGTAATGACCTCATTATACTCTGTCATTTTTTTCATTATTAATTTGTTTTTAACTCCTAGGTTGCTTGGAAGTGGTTTTAGTGAGAATGTGCCGTGCCTTCAACCCACTAAACAACACTGTTCTGTTTGAAGGAAAATATGGAGGAATGCAAATGTTCAAAGCCTTAGGTAAGTTTCCGTTTGATGAGGACACAAATAAATGAAATGCCTTCATTGTTTCATGTGAATTAAAAAATAAAAAATTGAGTAAATCACTTCTAACTCATGACAACCCCATGTGTGGCAAACTAGAATTGCACTCCAGAGGGTTTTCAAGGTTCTGACCTTTGGGGAGCAGATCAGCAGGCCCAAGTGCCACTGGGTGGGTTCGAGCCGCCAACCTTTTGATTTGTAGTGAGCACTTAAAAATTTGCATCACAGGGATTCCTCATGTGAGCTAGTAGTGTCTCGTGGTTCTGCAGGGTTGAACTAAGTCAGCCTCCAATGTTTCTTCTAACTCTCCCAAGCTTACAATTGTGGTCCCTATGATGAAAGGCAGGAGGTCTGGTGGCATAGTACCTAAGGCATTTGACTGCTAACCAGAAGGCAGGTGATTCAAATCCACCAGCCACTCCTTGGAAGGAAGATTTGGCAATCTACTTCCGCAGTGATACCGCTGCAGAAACTCAAGGAGGGGTCTCTATGAGTCGGATCTGACTCAACAGCCATGACTTTGGTTTTGGTTTTGTTTTTTTTATGATGAAAGGCGGAGGAGAGCCATGGACACTATTGAGATTATTGTTGCTGTTGTTAGTTGCCACAGAGTTAATTACAATTCATTGTGATCCTCCACCTCATTTGGAAATAAATGAAGATTGCTTTTAAAAGATCTGGGCTGCATCATAGATCATTCCATGTAGAATCCACTTTCTTTTACCTTATTTAATGGCTGTGCAAAGTATATTATGTAGACCACTGGTGGCTCATGAGGGTGACCACTTCAGTTTCTTCTGTAAATGAGTAGTCACTAATTACAGTGTTTAATTAAAAGAGGGTCCCCACCCTTGGTAATCACCCAGAACAGTGACTTTCCCTGTTAATTCAACAAGTTTTGAGGTACAGATAAAATTGGCACTGACTTGACCAAAACAATTTACAGATCATTCTTGATGGGAGGCAAGAAATGTGAGTTTGGGGGTGTTGTGTATCATTCACATCCAGTCATCAGTGCAGGCACATGGATAAGAAGAACATTAGCAAACATGGGCTGATGCCAGGAAAGGTTTTACCAATTGATAGTGCCATGTGTTCCATATCCTGCCCATGGACACCAGAGAAGGTCACTGCCCTTTCACCTCTTGTGCTGTTAGTTGATATAGTAGCCAACCTCAAGCCCGTCAGGGATGGCAATATTTCCTTTCTGTAGTTGATACACATTCATGCCATCTCCAAGGCTAGATTTTCAAGAAAGGAGGAAAAGCCTTGGCAAGCAATTTCAGTATATTTCCAGCTTCATAAAATAAACATTTACCCAGGATCAGTGAAGGAACAAAGCATGATTCTATCAAAATTCAAAAAGACTGACCAATGTACCTGCAAGTCATTTGTTAGAAGGTAAAAATAAATGAACCCTAGTTCCTAAATCAACTTTCCGGGGAAGTTACCAAATTGAAAAGTACCTCAACTCCATTCTACAAGAAGTTTCTAACAGCTCAATTTGGAGCACCTAGGCACATGACTTTGCCAATAAGACTAACAGCCCCCTGCCCTTTTATATAATGTTTCAGAATTTCATTGAATGATGTTTCTATTCCAAAGGCTCCCCCAAATCACTTCTTCTTCTTCTTCTTCTTTTTTTTTTTTTTTTTTTTTGATGTTTAGTTGGAAATAACTTCAAATTCATAGGATTTGATCCAGATTATGCATTCCTAGCCAGAAATTACACTGGCAAGTATACTATGTCCATTTGCTTCTCATTGGTAATGATAATTTTGATTAGCTGGTTAAGATGTCATCCAATTTCTTCACTCTGTAATTACTATCAAAGAGCTCTGGTGGCACAGTGGTTAGGTGCTCAATTCCTAACCAAAAGGTCAGCAGTTTTAAACCACCAGCCACTCCCCAGGAGAAAGATGTGGCAATCTGCTTCTCTAAGGATTATTGGCTTGGAAACTATGGGCAGTTCTACTCTGTCCTATAGAGTCACTATGAGTCAGAATCGACTCAACAGCAACAGGTTATGAGATAATTACTATCAAATCACTGTTTAGATATATGGGGGAAAAAAAAAAGAACATTGCAATTGAGTTGATTCCAACCCATGGCAACTCCATGTGTGTGACAGTAAAACTGTGCTGCACAGGGCTGACAGGGGCTGAGTTTTCAGAAGTATATCACCAGGCCTTTCTTCTGAGGATGTTCTAACTGGAACTGAACTGCCAACCTTTCAGTTAGCATCTGAGGGAAACCATTTGCACAACCCAGGGACTCATTTTTATGTGTTTGAACGAAGAAATATTTGTTCTAGATATGCAGTGTGCAAAATCTTGAATAACTTCTTGATTATGAGAAGTTTCTTAGTGCTGCTCCATTCCATTTAAGAGTTTTCATTTAATTTTCTTTCTTTCTCTCTAGGTTCTGATGACCTAGTGAATGAAGCATTTGACTTTGCAAAAAATTTGTGTTCCTTGCAGCTGACCGAGGAGGAGATTGCTTTGTTTTCATCTGCTGTTCTGATATCTCCAGGTAGGGAGGTCTAAGATCCCTTACCTTTTTTTTCTCAAAAAACTTGTTTTACCATCTGGGATATTAACAATGTTTATCTAAATCAATGTGTTCAGGAGAAACTTTGTTAAAAGAACCAAATTTTTCTTTAGCAGTCATATGATATTTTTGGATAATGCAAAGGAAAGTAGCCTCAAATAAATTACTATGGTCAATTTTGACCCAAAAGCAAGAGTTGGGAATGTGGTAAGGATCCTTCCAGATTCAAAGAAGCAAAATTGTTCCTTAATGGATAAATGAAAACAGATGTGCCCTAAATTACAGTTAAGTTCTATTTTAACTTTAAGGATAAAGAACATAGAAAAAAATGCCAGATAGGATGAGGCTTGTAGAAATATACCTAAATGAAAGATCCAGCATAGGAACTAAAATAAGTAAAATGTATACTTTTCCTTCTTTAGATACCTCTTTTGTTGGCTTGTCTACCAAACTTAATGTTGATGTGCTCATCTCAGGCAAATACAGGATTGTTGCTATTGTCATCAATTGCCATGAAGTCAGTTCCAACTCATGGCAACCCCATGTGTGCAGAGTAGAACTGCTCCATTGGGTTTTCAAGCTGTGACCTTTTGGAAGCAGATCACCAGGCCTGTCTTTTGAGACACCTCTGGGTAGTTTGAACTGCTAACCTTTCAGCTAGTAGTTGAGTACTTAACTGATTGTGGCACCCAAGACTAGTAACTTTAGGAGTGATGACAACAGAAGAGAAAATGGCTCCTACTACAGGCCGCCAAATGGAAGAGGAAGAGCCTAAGATGTGAAAGCAGACATTGTCTATTACCTCTGTTACCACTCATCTGTGTAACCTTAAACACATGATTTCTTGGACCCTCAGTGTCCTCATCTGTAAAATCATATCTATGACCTTTTCTAGCTCTGAAACGGCATAAAATACCCGAAAAGTTTCAGAGAAGTTTAGATGTAGCAATATTTATTTAAAAACCTGTTGCCCTCAAGTCGGTTCAACGCCTTTGTGTGTCAGAGAGTAGAAGAGCTCCATAGGATTTTCTTGGCTGTAACCTTTACAGAGCAGATCAGCAGGCTTTTCTTCCACAGTGCTACTGACTTGGTTCAAAGCACCCACATTTAGGGTAGTAATCCAGTGCAAAGTCTTTGTACCATCCAAGGACTTTATGGCATAAAATACCAAAAACTTTTCAAATAAAGGTGTGATAATGTTTATGGGTCAAATAAAACTGTAGAAACCGAAATATTTTAAAAAGTATAAGGCAGCTTGCTATATATAGAATTCTAATAAGTACGTGGATCTCTGTTGAACCAGAAAGAGAATTCAAGAGTCATTAACTCAGTTGTCTGTTCAGTTAGATTTAGAGCAATGGATAGCATTGTCATTGACAGCTCTGTACGTGAGAGAAAGCCACATTCCTGCCTAATTTTTGTGGTCAAGAGGCTCATTCTTTCTGTAACTCATTAATCTCTGGAGACTAGATCTCTTTTCTTATACCTTAGCATATTTTTCAGTGACATATTATTCTAGCTATTTCCACCATTAATTCTAGCTTCTACACTTTTTGTCACTTATAATTTATTATTCCTAATATGATCTTTTATAGTATCATAAAGGTTTATTTTTATTATTATTATTATTATTATTATTTTGCTTCCTTTTCTTAATCACTTTATCAATAATGGATATTAGCTATCATTTGGAATGTTATTACTAATAATTTCTTTTATGGCTCTGTCAAAAATCAAGATGTTTCTCTGGGCCTTTTTCTTTTTTGTTTTTACCCTAAAGTTTGCCAGGCCTATAAGTATAAAGAAGTAACTAGAAACACCCTATTTTTTCACACAAAATGTGTACACATAAGTAATGCTCACATATATACAACATGTAGAGTACTCATAGGAAACTAACACATAAACAGGTGATATGGTTTGTAAAAAAGCATGCACCGCATGCATTATTTGAGCAAAATACAGTACCTATGCCTGATAGGAACCACGTGCCAAATAATTTTTCTCCTACCCTTTTTCATTGTGTTTGGTTATTACCATTGAGTATGGTTCGATAAAGGATGAGGTCTAAGCCTGTGGGTTTATGGATGAGGGAAAGACTTTCACTCTGGTTCTTGCTTGCTCAAAGGAATGATTGTAGATTCTCTCTCTCTTTCAGTACATTTGTGGCAAGTTAATAGATTCTATAAACAAATATTTAAGTCACGATATATCAAACCTGTTTTATCATAACTCAGACCCTGAGAACCTAGAGTGCTCTGAACAATCTGTGAAGATGGGATGCCGCAGAAGGAAGGGAGGCCTCCTCTTTATGAATTAGAAATCAGCTGAGCTGCTTAGGCTCCTTTTAGAAAAGACTTTCTACCGCCATCAAATTCTGCTGAATTTGGAAGCATGAGATCCAGCCTACTGGGTTAAATGGGGGATCTTCCAGTCCTGGTAGCAACCCCACACTCAGAGGCTTCAGCAACTCCAAATACCTTGCTTGCCTCCCTGGCCTAGTGCCCTATTCAAAAATAGATGGAAGACAAATTTCCAGCCTTCATAGGTGCCATCTTGTGCCAGGCCCCAACTTTTTCCCAGGTTCTTGGCATAATAGTCATTGTGTATTCAGCTCTAGATAGCTAAGGGAAGGGAGAGGAAGGGAAACTTAATTTATTCTGATTGACAATCGTCACTGAAGGCTTTTGTGCTCACTTACGTAAGGGTTTGCTTAACTGCTGGCTACACGTATCCTTGCCCTGTCTAGGGTTACAGAATCGAGTTTCTCACCTGACCTGAACTGTGTTCAGGAGGATCATGTCCAAGTTCTTTTCCATGAGTATTTGTTCAACATTTGGAGATTCTAGGTGTCTCTTCATTGCAGTTCAACCTAAGACACAGTGCTGGGCTGCATTTTGTCACCATGGTGCACAAAGCCTTTAGAAAGAAAGAAAGGAAAGTAGAGAAGAAAATAAGAGAAGGAAGGAATAAAGGAAGGGAGAGAGGGAAGGAGAAGAGAAAAGAAGGAAGGAAAGGATGAAAATTTTTTCCTTATCTGCCATTTTAAAATCTATTTTAGAAAAATAAGTCTCTGGCCTAAATTTTTTAAACTGATTTGGGTTTATACTGTATAGATTATTCATACCTTTGGCTTCATGGTTGGTGAGGAAAGAAGCCCAGAAAGAGAAGGGGGCTCCTGAATATCAAAAATATTCCTGTACCATTAATTTTCTTCACAAGTGAAGAAATTCATTTTGTTCAAGTCATTTACTTCCACTTTGAAGGACAACCTAGACATATATCCAGAGATAAGAGTAAGAAATGTAAACTGCCATAGACATTAAGGAGCATGAAGGAATTTGTCTAAACCAATAGGTCTAACACTATTCTAATTTTCTAGTCAGTGTTTGGTGTGTTGTCAAAGCTGCTTTCAGAAGCAATTTAGAACTAATAATACAAAATGAGTCTAAAACTCAGCCTTATATTTATTTGTAGATGAAATAAAGCAAAGCTTATATGCTCTCCCCTTCTCATCCATTCTTTTTCTTTTGTCAGACCGAGCCTGGCTGATAGAACCAAGGAAGGTCCAGAAGCTTCAGGAAAAAATTTATTTTGCACTTCAACATGTGATTCAGAAGAATCACTTGGATGATGAGACATTGGCAAAGGTAGGTCCTCAGATCACAGACCCACTATCACTGAAAGAGAAAGCAGTGAGACGAAATGGCCTAGTGATAAAGCAAGGTTTACGGTTTCTCAGCCACAGCAATTTGGGGAATTTACCTAAAGCTGCATACATTTTGGGAGCTCTGGTAGCATAGTGGCTAAGACACTTGCCTGCTAACCAGACGGCTGGCGGTTCAAACCCACCAGCCACTCCTCAGAAGGAAGGTTGGGCAATCCTACTTCCGTAGTGATACTGCCTCGGAAACCCAAGGAGGGGTCGCTATGAGTCGGGGGCGACTCGATGGCACATAACAACAACAACAGCATACATTTTGGGGTGCACATTTTTAAAAGGAGACTAGTAGATTGTAATAAATTGAATGGAAGATGACTGGAGAAGAAAGATCTGGACAGATCTAAACTTAAGGCATAGGAGGACATATGAAAGGAACTGAGGGTATTTCATCTGAAGAAGAAAACTTGAAGCAATGAAGCAGGAAAACAAGGGATCAGGTGTCCAAAATCATATGTGGAGAAAAGGAAGACTTGGTGCCACTTCAAGGGTCACACTGGGGCAGAAATCAAAAGTCGGCAGATTTTTAATCAAAATAAGGAAGAACTATCAAATGATGAGAATTGTGGAACAAAGGGATAGATTCCTCTGTGAAGGAGTGAGCTCCCTGTCACTGGTCATATTCTGGCTGACACTGCCTGAGCTCCTCTTAGAAACGTTATAAAAGGGAAACTTTCTTAGTGTGGAAGACAAGATGGAATAATTTGTAAATTTCCCTTTGAGTCTATTCTCTTCCTGCACAATTTCTAAAATAAATTTAAAAGATCTTCCCGAGCTCTCTTTCAAAATGGTGAAGTATACCAGAGGCAATATTCATGCAACGTACCATCAGTTTCTTGATTGGGCTTAATTAAGAATGATGATCTTAAAAAAGAGAAGTGAGAAAAGTTGTTCACCAAAGTAAAAAAATCACAGAAGGAAGAAGCATGTTCTAATGATTGACATTCAGCATTATTTTAGCTCTTCTCATTGATTTCTTAAAAACTGGAATTTTTCAAAAAGCCAGAATTATATTAGATCTAAAACTAGCTTTGATTTCTAAGAACTGGAGTTTTTTAGAGGGTAAGAAACTAGGAAATGGAGCTTATTCTTAGGTAAAGATGATAGGAATCCTACTCTTTATATTTTTATCATTAAAACTCTCCCACTCTACCCTTGAAGTTCTTTATATAAAAAAAAAAGGGGGGGGGGATGTGAAAACTTTATTTGGAGACATCATCAGATTTTACTTTGCACATACAAAGTACTGCTATAAAAAAACTTTCATGAATTAAATATAGTGCTTCATTATGGTAACTAACACATTACTAGGGACATTTCCACACTGCAGAGTGATGTTTCTCCTTGATGTAACATTTCATATATTATCTATGTGGTCAAGGACAAATCGGCTAGTCTCTGCACCTCATTTTTCTCCCAGTCAAAAGCAAAACCTTCAAAATGCTTTCAGATTCACTGAGCAGAAGAACAGTAATGTGAACGTATGTGTATTGGTCTCTATAGTTTTCCCAGTTGCTGACTCTAACTCGTGGTGAACCCATGTGTGTCAGAGAAGAACTACAGGATCCATAAGATTTTCAATGGCTGTTTTCAGAAGTAGATTGCCAGGCCTTTCTTCCATGACACCACTGGTAGACTTGAGCTTCCAACCTTTCAGTTAGCAGAGAGCACTCTATAATTCCCTTTAGGTTCCTGAGTGTTGCAGTTCGTGCTCAACCTGAAGGCTGGAACCTAAAGGAACCTACTGACCTAAAGGTTGAACATTTGAACCAGCCTAGCAGTGCCACAGAAGAAAGGTCTGGCAGCATGATTCCATAAAGATTACAGCCAAGAAGACACCATGAAGAAGTTCTACTCTGTAATACATGGTGTCTCCACAAGTCAGAATGAATTCAACAGCAACAGGTTTTTTTGTTTGTTTGTTTCCTATAGTTTCCCAGCAGCATATATGCATAAATGCATTCAGTTATTAATGTGAAGGGATGTTTCCTGCATTTGGGCTCTCTCTGGGATGTTGGTCAAAACATTCACCACCCTAAAATTAAGGTCTTGGTAATATCCAGAATTACACAAAAATTGTCCCTATTCTCAGGGAGATTGTTTGGTTGTCATACAAACAAACAAACAAAAAACCCTGCTCTCTTCATTTATAAAATGATTACCTTTTTTTTTTTTTTTTGCTCTTGTACAGATGTGTTTTTGAGCTTCAAATGGGATATACACTGCAGAAACTCCAAGACATTGTGAAATTGTGATTATTACTTTCCTAAGTATGAAGTTTTCAGACTTATACCACTTTCCACCTTGTGGTGTCCTGGTGGTGATATGAACTTTTGAGGTATTTGAGATATACATAAGGCAGTTAAATGGAAGAATGAAATATATTTGATAGCAAAAAAAAAAAAAAAAAAAGTCAATTACAAAATATCTACTAGAGCTCAGCTTAACTCTTCATCCTCCATCTTTAGTAGGAAAAGTCTACAATTAATTTCTTAGAGAGAGATAATATTGCAAAGCTAGGGGCCAGAGAAAGCATTAAAAGTGGATTCTTTCTGGCTTAAAATTCATCAGGGCTGGATGACAGAACACTGCTTCCACAGGTTATGTGTGGATATTGGTTTTTATCGGGCGTGTGTGTTGACCCTTCCTGTAACAGTCATCATTTTAATAGGCTGTTATTTGAATTAATGTAGAGAAACTATGACACAGAATGAGCAACTGGATTCCTTTTTATGCCAGCTCTAACCTGTGTGCCTTCAGACAATCAACACTATTTGAATCTGATTCCTCAACTGTCAAGTGGGAGCCAGGGTAAGGGGTGTCATCCTTGCTGCTTTAACACTGTGTGTAGGAATGTCATTTTAAGCTCACACTTCCCAAAAGTAATGTTGTTGTTGTTGCTAGCTGATGTCAAGAAAGCCCCCAACTTGTGGTAACTCCACGCACAAAGGAGCAAAATGGCTGCCCCGTCCTGAGCGGCCTCCTTGCTCAATCGGTTGCAGATCAGACCATTATGATCCATAGGGCTTTCACTGGCTGATTTCAGGAGCAGATTGCCAGGCTTTTCTTTCTCGTTTGTCTTAGTCTAGAAGTTTTGCAAAGATCTATTCAGTATTATAACCCAAAAGTAATAGTCTTATTTAAATCAAAGAAAAACTATTCCACCCCCACCATTGGTTTCAGAAATGCTTCTTGTGCCTTCATAATTATGGAAGTCTTCTGCCTCTACTCTTATTATTTGTTGTTCATGGAGTCTTGGGGAACTGGGGAACATTATGAAACCTATCTCTAGAAAAATGTACACATAACCAAGATGTATTCAAGTCTAGGCACTCTCTTTAAAATCTCCAACAGACGGCATAGATCTACCTTCTGTGTAATGTGTAAAGGGTTGCTTATACTAAGTGGAGCCTGAACAGGTGTAACAGACATCAGATAGAGGTGTAGGGATCACACACAGTCATGGAACTTCTTGAAAGAACAGACTCTAATACACCTTCTATAGACCGATTTCCTGAAATTAGTTTAGGTAGCAATGCCCTATACTTTGGGCCTATGTACCCTTCCTCTGTGACCTAGGGAAGGTTTGAAAATTGGGGGATTCTGTGTTCATCAACTAGAAAGTTTCAATCCCTCCATATTAATTAGGACTTTTTTTTCTTTTTCACTTAACTCTCATGTTCCTCTCAGTGTCTTCTTCTGTCATGATCAGTTTGTGCTGACCTCCCCCTTATTGTATACTGCCTTTCCTTTACTCAAGTTAATGCATGCCTACTCTCTAGTCAGTGATTTACCCTCCCTTCCCACTGCTGGTAACCTTCAAATTATCATTCTTTCTGTGTATGAACATTTTTTTTAGCTTTTTAGTTATCTTCCACACAATATTTGACCTTTTGTGATTAACTAATTTTCCTCAGCATAATGTCCATCTATATCATTGAGGTATTTTGCAGATTCATCATTATTCTTTAACATTGTGTAGTCTTCTGTTGTATGCATGTATCGTAGTTTGTTTATCCATTCTCCCATTGTAGGCACTTAGGTTATTTCCATCTTTTTGCTATTGTGAATAATGCTGCAATGAACATGGCTGTTTATATATAGAGAGAGATTACACACACACACATATGTAAACTTCATATATATAATTAAGCAGGACTTTTTGTTTATGGAGGGAAAAAAATCCAAGAATCCACCTTCCTCCTCTCTTCAGCATGCTGAAAATATACAACATCCTTACAATGAGTCACTTGCTAACTGAGTGACCCTGGACTAGTGACTTAATCTCTTTGTGCCTCAGTTTGCTCATTTGTAAAATGTGACTAGAGATAGTATCAATTCCATGTGGTTATGTTGACAGCCAAATGAGAAAAAATATATAAATATATAAGGTTCCTAAAAAACAACCAAAACCAAACTCACTGCTGTCAAGTCAATCCCGACTCATTGCAACCCCTCCTTGGGTTTCCGAGGTGGTATCTCTATAGAAGTAGATTGCCCAATCTTTCTTCTGAGGAGTGGTTGGTGGGTTTGAACCACCAGCCTCTGGTAAGCAGTCAAGTGCCTTAGGCACTGTGCCACCAGAGCTCCCATTATAAGGTTCCTAGTCCATAATAAATAGTATGGGAATGCTGTTGTAGTGCTTATTGTAGTTGTTATTGAGAGAGAAAATTGTTATCCAAGAGATGATATATTTGAGTTAATCACTGATGAATGAAAAATATTTCAAATGATGGATGTTGGGCAGATGCAGAGGTGGCGTATGACATTCCAAGTGATGGGGCAATGGAATGGAGGTAAGAAAGTATATTCAGGCTATAAATAATAGTTAGACTTGGCTTGCTGGGAAGCCAGGAAATGAGATAACACTGGTCACTTTCCCTAAAACTTGTGAAAAAAAGAATATATATATTCTTATATTTACACATA